TTGGTTGATGTGTTGGTCCATCTTCTCCTACTCCAATAGAATCATGAGTAAAAACAAATATTGATGGATAATGTGAAAGTGCTGCCAATCTAATAGTTGGTCTACAATAATCACTAAATACAAAGAATGTAGATCCATATGCAATTAATCCTCCATAAATACTCATTCCATTAACCATATTTCCCATAGCATGTTCTCTAATTCCATAATGAATATTTCTTCCTTTAGGATCTTCATGGAATGATACTCCTGGAAGTACGACTTTAACACTTCCTCCAACATCAGCAGTTCCTCCAATTATTTCTGGTAATTTTTGTGCAATTTCATTAAATGCTTTTCCTGAACTAATTCTTGTAGCTTCACCTTTTTCATCTGCTTTAATTTCTTCTTTAAATAATTCTGAAATACTTGAAATATCTCTCTTAAGTCTACGTTCAAATTCTTTTGCAAGTTCTACTTCTTCTTTCTTATATTCTTCATACATCTTTTTCCATTCTGTATGTTTTAAACTTCCTCTTTCTGATGCTGCATGATAAACTGCATAAACATCTTCATCAACATGAAACTCTTCTGTAACTCCATATGCTTTCTTCATTAATTCTAATTCTGGTCCTGGTGGTTCTCCATGTGCTTTAGAAGTGCCTTGTTTATTTGGCATACCAAGTCCAATAGTAGTTTTACAACAAATAAGAGTTGGTTTATCTGATGCTTTTGCTAAAACAAGTGCTGCATCAATTTCATTTACATTATCTCCATTACATTTCAATACATTCCAATTATATGCTTCAAATCTTTTTCTAACATCTTCTGTAAATGCAAGATTAGTATTTCCATCAATAGTAATATGATTATCATCATATAAACAAATTAATTTATTTAATTTCATATGACCAGCAAGTGATGCTGCTTCTGCAGTAACTCCTTCCATCAAACATCCATCTCCAAGTAATACATATGTATAATTATCAATGATTTTCTTATCTTTAGTATTAAATGTAGCTGCCATATGTTTTTCTGCTGCTGCTAATCCAACAGCAGTTGACATTCCTGCTCCAAGAGGTCCACCAGTAACTTCAACACCTTCAGTCCATCCATATTCAGGATGTCCAGGTGTTTTAGAGTCTAATTGTCTAAATTCTTTTAAATCTTCCATAGAAATATTATATCCCAATAAATGGTTAATAACATATAATAATGATGATCCATGTCCATTAGAAAGAACAAATCTATCTCTTGAAATCCATTTTGGATCTTTTACATCAAATTTCATATGTTTTGTAAATAATGTATATGCAATAGTAGCACATCCTGTTGGTACTCCTGGATGTCCACTTTTAGCTTTATTAATCATTTCACATGCAAGAAGTCTAATAGTTTGAATACTTCGTTCTTCTAATGACATAACACAAGAATAAGCTAAACACAGTTCAATTCTTACTTAAATATTCTAATTGGTGTAGAATCTTGTTCTTATGAAAGACGAAGATTCTCGACGATCTTTTTCTCTTCTTCTTTTTTCTTTTCTTATTTCTTTTTTTTGTTATTTATAACGAAATCTAATATAATTATATTTTCAATTATTCTTCTCTTTATAACAATCATTATCAAATTAACTTCTCCTTGTTGCTCTAAACTCTTCAAATAACAATGGCCCTATTTAATTACTACCTGTTTTTGTTTATTGATTTTTTTTGTTAATAACAAAAATACAAACATGAAATAATTCTATCTTCGTTAACATAATTGTCATTTAACACACAATCTCTTTCATAATACAAAGAATCCCATTCATCTTTTGTGAGATAAAAAAATGGTCTATTTCTTTTGACATACTCAATAAATTCCTCTAATAATGGAAATAAACCATAAAATACTTTCAACATTCTTTCTAAATTCTCTCCTTCAATAATTCGTTTATTTCCATATATTTTAAATGCTTGTTGAACTAAATCATTGTTGCTCCACATTCCTTCTTGTATAAATATATTGAACGTATCTTTATTACTTTCAATAATAAGTGTTTCTCTTGTATTATAATGAAATACAAAACAAGGCTCCTTAACCTTTCTTTTTATTCCACAGTATTTCTTTGTATATTTCATTATGTCATCTAAGACTTGAACATTCAACATTGTTTAATTGAGGAATTAAATTTTAAGATAAATTCTTAAAAGTTTTTTTTTAACATCATTTCTTGTATTAAAATTAATGAATGAATGTTTTTTAATTCAAGAAATATTAATACAGATAACCATTTGTATTTTAATATTGTTTTAAAATTGATTATACCGATAGTAATCAACACCATTCAAGTCTTGATAAGTATAGTACTCAATATTATTGAATTAGGAATATTTGATTATTGGATTTGGTAATGTTTGGAATAACATGAAATATAAAGTTATACAACAAGTATGAAAGTGAGTATGTAGATTAAGAAGTTCAAACAAAAAGTTATAAAAATTATTAGTGTTGAACCAAAGCATAACATTATTCAATTTAGTAATCCAGGAAAGATATCTTTTAGGAATGGTAATGCTTCAGAGCCAAATAAGGATTTGACCATACAATCTCCTTTATAAATTAATAAGCCAGGAAGTGATTTTTCAGGAAATGGTTTATTTGAATCTTCCCATGTAATTTTGGCAAAACATACGAAGGGATATTTCTGTGCATATTCTTCCATCATTCTATTAATTAATGTACAGTCTTTTACAAAGGTAGTATAAATGTGAATCACTGCAAAGACATCATCCTCTAATGTAGTTATTGTATTGGCATATTCCTCCTCATCCAATTCAAGAACATCTCCATATCTTCTTTTAACTATCTTCTTCAATACCTCTGGTTTTTGTCGTTCTTTACATACCTGAGCACTAACTACTTCTCCAAACAATTCTTTCTCTATTTCATCAAGGTCCTCTTCTTCACATTTCTCTTGAACAATACTATTGGAAGATTCTCCTCTCATTATTCTCTTAGTTTCTTCAACTCTTTCTTTTAGTCGTTGCTCTGCATGGTCTCTGGCTTCTTT